ACAGGCTTGCCAAGGCTGTGGGCACAGTCCTTCTGAAGCAGCATCGTACTTACTTGGAGAAGTTAAATTTGGTGAAGTGGATGGTGTGTTTTATAAAAAGAGTGAAATTCTCCGCCTCAGCCAGAAGAGGTTTCCTAGAAAACAACCACCAAGGAATTCAGATGTTGCCCAGCAGCCCCCTTCCCCTCACTCCTCAGTCTCTCCATGATCCTGGGACTTTGCCTACAACAGACAGTTGCAAGAAATGCTCTTGCGTGAAGCTCTCTGGGCTTAACTGAGCAGGTCGAAGATCTCCATGAGCTTGGCTGCCCCTCGAGCAATTCTGATCAGGCCCCTGGTTACAGAGGGCACAGAGGGGAGCAACTGAAGCTCCCGACGCCCGCTGTCCCCTCCTCCCGGGCCTCACCTGGGCAGGGTGTCGCTCTCCACAGGGCACCAGCCATAGATCTCACAGGTGGAATGGCTGGTGTTGAACATCACACATTTCCCAGTTTTTATCCCTGCAAATGAGACAAATATCTATCATTTACTATTCCTTTCCAAAACCTCTTCTCTGCAGCCCCCCTCCTGGGATAGTGCCCCGGCCAGAGGCTTGTTCTGCCCTTCTCAAAGCCTGAAACACAAAGATGACCCTGGGCTCATCTTCAGGGTTTTCCCCACCTAAAGAGCTTCCCAGTAAAACCCTTCTTTGAGGCCAAACAAAGACCCACAGCTGGGTGGGAACCCAACAAACTGGGGCAAGAGCTTCGGTCACTGACCTCCTGGAGCTGAAACATCCTCTCCTTTCCAGCTGAACTCACGGGGGCTGCTAATATTCATCAGCGTGAAATAAAAGCCAGGTTTTATTACAAAAGGGAAGCCCACCCATCACACAGCACACTGGTTTCAATGCCAGCAGCCAATGCCAGAGTCAAAGCACTCCCTGCACTTGCGGTGACAGCGCCTGGTGCCCGCAGCACTGGCTCGAGTGGCCACAACAGGTGGTTTTCCTTTAACTTAAACCCATTTCCCCTTGTCCTATTAGGGTAAGAATGAATCATAGAATGGCCTCGGCTAGAAGGGACCTTAGAGATCATTCTACTCCAACCTCCCTGTTGCCAGGGATGCCACCTGTTGACTAGATTTGTAACAAGTCCCTCCCCAGCCTTCCTGTAGGCTCCCTTCAGGCACTGGAAGGCATGCTTTTTTTCTTTTTTTCTTAGCAAAACAGCCGGTACCGTTACCACGAAGCACTGGGTCTCCCACGGGACAGTCTGCATCTTCTGCGCACGCCGCCTCGAGGACAGAAGGGCTCTGAGAGAGACAGAGAGAAGCGCTGGTACTGCTCACTCGTGTTTCGGCGCTGCCGCTCCCGTTTCTCCAAACACATCCCAGATGCTTTATGGAAGACACCTGCCATGTCCAGACCGTGGGCAGCCTCCAGACAGCAAGGAGACAGATATCTCCGAGGGGCAATCCCTCCCCTGCTTGTCTCCACGTGCTCTGGGGTGCTGACCTCCTCCGCCTCGGAGGCAGAGGAAGCCTCAGGAGCTAGCTCAGGCCTTTCGACTGGGTTGGGGAACAAGCACGGTTGGCTCCAGGAGGGCCTTAATGGCAGAGCCCACCAGCACAATTCTCCTGGGGAAAAGCTGCAGAGAACCTAAACAGAGCACAACACAATTTTTACGAGAGACATGGAAAGTTTCACCCTCACTTTGGACCCTCCTGATTGCCAGGAGCAGCAAAAAGCTTCTGTTGGAACACGGAGAGATGACAGCAGGTGGGGGACCATAGGGAACATCTTCCACCAGCTACTCCCAGGCTAGCGCAGGAGCCACCAGCCCATGAGAAAGCCACCTCCCCAAGCCCAAAGGCAAGTGGGGAAACCCCAGTTACGGAGTGAGGAGTGTTTGTCCAGGCTCTCCCAGGGCTGTCTCAGGCCAGGCCCAGCCCCTTGTTCCAGGTGTGAAACCCACCATGATGACCTGAAGCACCTTCGGGCTGGGTGGGGTGATGCTGTAAAAAATAAGCACTTAGGAGAGCGCTTTGTCATCCTGGATCCAAATCAGATGGCAAGGATTCAGCCTCCAGAAGGACCCAGACAACAGGCATTTGTAGCTGAGCGTATCAGTCCAGGTAACGAGATGCAGGACAACTGCCACTTGGGAGACAGACATGTCTGGGTGTTCAGGGCATGCAAGCTCCAAAGCTTGGGAGAAATTCAGGTACCCAAGTGATGGTGTTACAGAAAACCTACAATCTGGCCTTTTAGTGCAAACGAGCCTTCAAAAATCTGCTGGTGCTGGTGTTCTCCATAGGCAGGATCTGAGCCAGGTGACACGTGCCACAAGTGTGTTGTGAGAAGCAAAGGGAGCCAGACTCAGGGAAAAGCCCTCATGGGGGCACCAGATGCGTGCTCCTAAAGCTCCCTGCTGCGCCTTGGTTGAGTAAAGATCTAAAAGCTTGGGAAAATCAAGAGGAACAAGTTTTTCAAGGAAGCTACCCATGTTTGGAACGGGACAGGAATACAAGCACACCAGCATTCCCCATGAGGGTGGGCAGACCCTGGCACAGGGTGCCCAGAGAGGGGGTGGCAGCCCCATCCCTGGGAGTGTTTAAGGCCAGGCTGGATGGGGCTCTGGGCAGTCTGATCTCGTGGGGGATGTCCCTGCCCATGGCAGGGGTTGGAACTGGATGATCTTTAAGGTCCCTTCCAAGCCTGACAGTTCTACGCTTTCAGAAGACGACCCCCACAGTGCACACAGCAAAGCTCAGATGCCGCTCAGAGCTCGTAGCATTTGTGCTCCTGGGACTGGGGCGATCCCAGAGAGGTGACAGCAGAGATCTATGCAAAACCACTAGGAACCCCAGAGCTCCTAATTTTTTACCTGTCTTCTGTAGTCACAAATATGTGGCTAGAGAATGACTTTGTTCTTAACCTAGGTCGAAACAACTGCTGATGCCCAGCCCTCGACAGCTTGGGTTTCCAACCACTCAAAGTACTTGAGATCAACACCAAAAGGTCTCCCTGAGCTCAACACAGACATCAGCTCCTAAAACAACCCGTCCCATGTTTGAGTGCTGCCTCTGGCCCCAGCCACTCTTCTCCCTGGTCTGCTAGCACAGAATACCTCAGTAATCAAGAATATGCAGAACTTCCTGCAAAGTCAAAAGCTGTCCCTGCTAAAACTTCCAAGTTCTCCAGATGTGAAGAAAAACTTGAGAGAGCGGCACCGGGTGCAGGCTGTGACAGGCACCCAGACACACCGCAGCTCTGCGACAGGATGAACTGCTCAGCTCTCCCTGTATCCTTGGCTCGCACGCTGCAAAAAGTAAGCGGCCAGAGATGCTTGTGATTGCCTGTGAGAAAGCCCCAAAATCTCTGCAGCACATGTCCTGCCCTGGGGACGTTCCTGAAGCTATCCGCACTTCAGGGCTTCTCGAGGTTTTAAAGAGGGATCATTAATACCATTTTCCCCAAACAAAAACCAGGGTTGCTCCTCCTATCCTGGGGTCTGTGGGCTGCGTTTGGAGAGCAGCCCACTGCAAAAACCGAAGGGACCGTTAAGACAGTGCTTGGCGGAGGCACAAGGTGCCAGCAGTGACTTAGCTTAAAAGACATTTGCTCCTGTCTGCCAAGCAGGGTCTGGCTTGGGAGAGTTCAGCTGAGGAGCTGGCCTGAATCCAGCCTTATAGGGAAGATTTCTCCCAGAGAACATCTACCACTAAGTGCTGGCTGATCGGGAAACCGCTTAGACCTTGTGCTCTGTTCCTCCTAAAAATAGGACACTAAGATGGAGAGGGTACGAGTCCTGCAGCAGAGAGTTACAAAGCAAATGTGCATGAAAACATCAGGAAAAAGGGCAGAATGGAGCAGCAAGTCAAGAAAACACGAATATACGTGAGACTTGAGAAGGAACAGAGGTAACGGAGGTACTGGCTGCAGATGGCAGTGCTGATGGCAGCCCCACCGCGGAGGTGGAACAGCTACAGAGCAACACGGCTCTGTTGGTCCAAGGGCAGCAGAAAGCCTGTGGGGATCAGTGTCCCTGCTCCTCAAGAGGCCCAGAGAGCTGGTGAAGCCCCAACAGACCGTGTCCCTTGTTCTCCTGGTCACCAGGTGATTCTGGCCAGGCTGCTCGGATACGTGTCTTGGGTCGCATAGGTACAACAGAGCAAGTGCAAACGAGTGATGAGATCTACAGAGCAATGAGAATGAGGGGAACCAGTTTGGTGAGGAAAAAAAAAGTCCATTTTTCTTTTCTCTCCGGTCTTGCGGCGGGTTCTGCCGTGTTCCTGTACAGCTAAAGGGCAGTGGTTTCCTAAAACTGGCCGCAGCGCAGCGCTGGGCTGAGAGCAGCACAGCTCACTCACCTCGGGACAGGTGCCCTGGGACTGCTCTGTTGTGGCGATGAAATTCGTCACCAGAAAAAGCACGTTTTCTCCCTGGAAAGCAAGAAGGCACCTTCAGCGGCGGATTTAC